TGCGACAAATACGGCAATAATGAGGGACGAAGAGAGAGAGAGAGAGAGAGAGCAGGACTTGGAGGCGATCTCATGCAAAAATCGTCTTTCTCCTTGCAAGAGCTTCGCCCGCATCGATAGCGGCCCCACCACTTTCGCAACGCAAAAGCGAGTCACGAGGTCTTCCATGCCGTCATTCCTCTTGGGCAGTGTTCAGACTTCGCCATTGCGTCGCTAGGCGGCGCGATCGATTCGCCGCTAGTGGTAGCGACCGGTTGTGTAGCGACTGATTCGATCGCGCTCCAATGCAAAAATCAACTGGACGGATGCTAATTTACAGCCATTTTCGGTTACTTTTGCGGTGCTAACGTGGTTGGGAGGGCCACGCGGCTCGCGGCGAGTCATCGGCTCTTCTGCTTTCTCCTCGGCAAAAAGAAGTAATTTCATGTTTAGGACATGGATATAACACCGTCCTAGCTATATTCAAAAGCTAAAACAGTTAAGGCTGAAAAGTGCGAAGAAACAGTTGTAGGCTGGAAGATTTTGCCTAAAATAACGGTTGTTGCCTTTTTTTTGCCTAATTTGGTTGATTCTTGACTTTAGAAGATCAAAGATTTGTTGTTTTCAGCTTCTGTGGGATTTCTCAGCAAGTGTGTGAATCTTGTTTGTTTTATTCTAATTTTGCTGCTAGATTAACGCTCCAAGTATGTCAGTGAGTGAGCCGATGAGTCATCACTCGCCGCGAGCCGCGTGGCCCCTCCCAACTACGTTAGCACCCTTTTTGACTCCCAACTACGTTAGCACCCTTTTTGCTTCTTCCTCCTCCCGCTTGCTTCTCGCTTGTTTCTTCCCTCCTGGCACTATTATTTCTAATCTGTTTCTATTGTTTGTCAGTTATTATGCTTTTTACCTTTGACATAGTGAAATTTTTCAGATGCATTGAAATTTTTTGGATGGACGGCCGTTCTGCGCGCAACTTTTCTTGTTTTCGAGGTGGGTTTTTCAGGTTCCCTGCAGTTTTGGTTATCTTTTTGATTCTCATCAATCATATTGTGTTTAGCTTGGTCGAGCAGTTCAGTAGAAACCTTCACCTGCACAGTGAGTAGTTCTCTTTGTTCCTATTTTCTAAATGTCTAGTGTCTTGGTTAGGTTTAAGTTTACTATGTTCTCTTTAACACAGTTGGCAAATAGGTACAATGAGAAACTACTTATCGTACAGGTGAAGGTTTCTACTGAACTGCTGAACTACCGACCAAGCTAAACAATATGATTGATGAGAATCAAAAAGATAACCAAAACTGCAGGGAACCTGAAAAACCCACCTCGAAAACAAGAAAAGTTGCGCGCAGAACGGCCGTCCATCCAAAAAATTTCAATGCATCTGAAAAATTTCACTATGTCAAAGGTAAAAAGCATAATAACTGACAAACAATTAGAAACAGATTAGAAATAATAGTGCCAGGAGGAGGAAGAAACAATCGAGAAGCAAGCGGGAGGAGAAAGAAGCAAAAAGTAACCGAAAATGGCTGTAAATTAGCATCCGTCCAGTTGATTTTTGCATTGGAGCGCGATCGAATCAGTCGCGCTACACAACCGGTCGCTACCACTAGCGGCGCGATCGATCGCGTGGCCCCGCGGTGCAATCGCGAAGTCTGAACGCTGCCTTATTGGCTGCGCCCACACTCATTGGCCCCACCTCTAAAGTTTAACCCGGAAGCGAAGGGTACGGATAACTTGAACTTAATTCCCTTAGACGCGACGTATTTGCGTACTTCTCTGCTCTCTCTCTCTCGCCCGCGTGAAACCCTATGGTCACTGTGGCTTCGCAATTGCCGGTTTTCACCTATGATAAGTGGCTTACCCACCCCGAACTTTTCCCTCCCTATGAAAAAGTTAATTTCCTGGCTCGCCGTAGTTTCTTCGCACGTCTCGATGCTTTGGCAGGCGTTGTCCTCTAAATGTCTGCGTTTCTTGGTTTTGCAACATGACCATGCACAATAGTTGAAGATGTTACGTAACCTACCCGGCAAGCTCGTTGCGACCATGGTAAAACCTGTCAATTCATGAAAAGGCTCTCTATATGTGACTACATGTCGATGGAAAGCAGCAAAAGTGCAAAACACCCCCCCCCAACCCCCACCCCGTCGCCGAACTGCCCCCGACTTTCTTCTGATTGATCTTAATTTTTTTTCTCTATCTTCGAGTTTCTTGGCATCTTGACATCCCTGCTTGAGCTCTACTACCCACAATATCTGATCGCGTGCTTTGCCTTCTTAGAAAATGAGATAGTTGAGGCTAGTGTAGCTGTGTAATTAGGGGGGGGGGAATCAGGTAGACCGGGTCACACTCAATATAGCCTCCCGTACTCTCTGAGGCTGAGCCCGTTTACCACGGTAGGAAGGCGCAGACAAGCAGACCTAACCTCGTCATCCGGGCAGTTGATTAGGGCGGTCGTCAACGGGCCGCAGCGCGTGCCAGGAACTATTTGCTTTTTCCAGGCTAATTTAGTCATTTTTTCCACCTTGTGAAGATAAGGAGCTGCTAATCTGGGAAAAAGTAGCCAAAACAGTGAAAAGTTGGAAAAAATGACTAAATTAGCCTGGAAAAAGCAAATAGTTCCTGGCACGCGCTGCGGCCCGTTGACCGCCCTAATCAACTGCCCGGATGACGAGGGTAATAACCACCGCGAACCTTCCGCACCAACTCGCCTATTAGTCCACTGAACATTCCAGGCGCATCCTAGCCTCGAGAAGCGGTTTCCAAAATACGACCCCCTCCCCCCCCCCGAAGCCTTGTTTAGCGAGAAAGCCCCCTCTACCCGAATCAGAACAGAGATGCGATGCTGCGCTCGCTTTGAACACCTGGAAAGCGTAACAGTGGTGCCGTTGAAAGGGCAAAATCAACAATAAAAACAGGTTCCAGGCTAAAAAGGATATCCTCCCTCTGCGTTTGGGATCCTCGAACGTAAGAGGTGTCCTGCACTAACGCCAGCTTATCATTCCATTGTTGGACGATTCGCTAACTTATTCGGCCTATCACCCATGGAACGGGCCCAGCTGTACTTGGCGGGAGCCACGCGCCAGCACGAAGAATAGATAGATCCCTTCCGCTCCCCAGACTTAGCCTTATGAGGAAGAAGACGACCAGGATTCCTAAAGCCTCGTCGGGGTGGGCCGTTGTTGGATACGCGGCTAGCGAGGAGAGATGCCACAGAGAAACCAGGAGCAGACCCTTGCACTCTGCTTCCTGTGACCTGGGAACCCACGATTAAGACCATCATCATGGTCACAAACAGTCGCGCCAGATACATCGCCGTGACATACTTTGCCAATGATACGATAGCTGCTACACGAATGTTTGATTTGACATCAGTGCTTTAGAACCACTGACAAAATAAAAAAAAATAAAAGCGTCTCACCTGATAACTCCATCCAGTACGGGAAACTGCCTTTTCAATTGCTTAATTGCTGTCACCACAATTTTGTGGGCTCTACCTAATGCATTCACTTGCTCGCCGTCTGAAACAGGAACTTCTGGCACTAACAACCCATCACTTTCACCGTTTTTGAAATTGAGATTGTTTTTGTCGAAAACACAAATATCGCTATTGTTTAGCGCGAGAATGGCCGGCGTCCGTATTAAGCAGCCCAATGCTATAGACGAAATTCGATCGGACCGATCGATATTGCTTGAGAAACTACGGAGAATAGGAAGGTTTGCGCTGCCTAACCACACTGTCTGGTATCGATCGGAGCCGGCCTTTGGTATTCTGAGAGTGCGTGGAAGAGCAGGAGGGTACCAGACAGCGCGTTGGAAAGCGCTACCCCCTGACTTTCCTTCAATACTTTCTCAAAGCAGTAGCAACCAGCGCCGATCGATACCCGCCTGGCTGTGTTCCGGTCTTTAACACTGGGGCGTACTTGCAATGGTAGGTTGTCGACGAGCGTCATCGCAAAGTTTGAACGTGAGGTTGACTCCGAAGCGTCAGTTGTTATCGCTTTTTAACACGCGCTACTGATGTCCTTGCTGAAACCAAAGACTCGCTGATGCTTTGGGGGCGTTGTTAATATGGCGGTCTCTCTATGGTCTTACCCTTTTAACGCTCCTCATCGAACCTTATCAGCAGCTTGCAATTCCTGACACCCCTCTACCTGTCCCATACCCTATATCATATCTTGGAATCAGCACCTACCTGATGCTGTCACCGCGTTATGAATATGGTGGCCATCCCCTTCTAACGCCTCTTATCGAATCTTATCAGCTGATATCACTTCCTGTCACCCACCAATAGTGTTCCCGTCACACCCCCTACATCACTTCTTGGAACCAATGTCTCACTGCTACTGGGACCGGCGCTATGAATTTCGTGACAAACAGACAGACGCACACACACATAGAGAGGGGGGAAGACATAAGTTACATTTTATTACATTCTGATTGGACATTTCCACCACCATATTCAACAGCACATTGTACACTATCATGATACTCCGCCACAGCCTTCTGGACGAGCGCCATCGAGAGATTCTGCCACGCGACCGTGATTCGGTGCCTGAGTTCAGCGAGGTCGTTGATTTCTCCGCCACTGTAGACCACCCTGTTGAGCTCCCCCGGACCCGGTAATCGAGGGGTTTAGGTCAGGTGACACACTTGGATATTCCGTCTTTTTCAGGTTTTCAGCACCCTTCCATTATAAGTAGGCGAGAGTTTTCAAAACGCCCTCCGATTCCATGTGGTGTCGATTCCATGTGGTGTCACCCAATCCTGTAGCAGTACAAAGTTTCCAAGAAGGTACGGGCGACGACATGTGAGGAGGATATTCTTCACGAGTTGCTCGATGTAACCGCCAGCGCTCACCTTCAGTCCGGGGTCCACGAAGAAAATATCGGTCTTCCCATTCCAGGAACTTCCGGTCCATACCATCAACCCGCGCCTTGGCGACTGCGGTGAAGATGATATCCTGGACCGTAGCGACGTTGTCGGAGCTGCTCGATGTTGGAGGTCTTCCAGATCAAGAGTGCTGGTCTCCAGGTAGCTGTCCATGGGTGACTCCATACAAGAAGTTTCGCAGCTGTTTGGAGGTGACGTGAATTCCATAGGCCTTCTCCAGTCAGGCTGCGATTGGAGATGACTTCATATTTTGGTGTACATGAAGGTGATGGGCGAGAGCCAGCTCCTGCTTATCGAGGAACATCTTGGGTATCTTCCGCCCTGGTACTCGTATCCACGTCTCTCTGGGCTGCGAAAACTTTGCTGATATGTGACTCGGTCGAAGTGTCTTTTTTTGCCCCTCCCCCCTGCACAGACATAGCCGTTTACATATGGTAAGATAGTCTAGAAAGATCCGAACTGTAAATGTATAATTAATAACTGTATAAGACTGCCACTACTGAAAATCATAATATCTCCCAACCTGGCATCCTCGGTTTGAAGATATGCGATGGTGTGATCAGGAAGAAATCGTGCTGATACGAGTCGTCACCTATGAGCGTGCCCTTCTTCGTGCCATCACGAAATTGTTCAAAGAGCAAGCTACGCTTGAATACCTCAAATGGAATAATACTAAAAGTCATAAATTACAGAACGTTGCTTGGAGCAGCTCATAACAACACTGTGAGCCACGCGTAAGCCGCTTTATTGGTAGTCTTGAACTATTCCATATCACACTGCTTGCAAAGGGCGTGTCCACGGAAACAGTTGTGAGCGCGGCGCCGGCTGCGTACACGTGGACAGGTGTGCGTTCAGGAAAAGGGGTCCGCCGACGTTTACCAGTGCCGTTTGCGGTTTCTTCTGGACATGCTATGTGCGCTTCTTCTTGAAGCCGTAACGCCTACAACTAAGCCCGTGAACACGCCTACTCCAGACGGGGTGATATGGACTGAGGTCTCATAGCTTTCAAAGCTCTAATAAAAAAAAACGAAGCACCACGCTTGAGCGCCATATTTCAACGGGATGTGCAGAAAAACAATTACGTCTCTGAATAGCAAACTCTTCCACACCGTATTATCGTCAACGTTTCCAGCAAATTTCGCAGAGACCCATCGAAACCGCAATCTGTCATCCGCAACAAATCCAACATTGAGTGCTTGACGGCCACTGCTAAAAAACCGCCTTTTTCATCAGCTCTACCAAATTCATTACTTCTTTCTCAGGCATTTCTCTCAATTCCAAACTTCACTTTTCTATGAAGTGCTTCCATAATGCTGCAGAGTGCGCAGCGAAACGGCGACCACAGTGAATAGTGGAAAAAGACCATGATATGGAGAGGTTTTAATATGAAATTTATGTCAGAAAGAAAAGTACTACAAGAACGGAAGATACTTTTGTCAGTCACATAAAACATGTGCCAACACATCTGAGTGATGTCACAAACCACCATATTTGTCGACTTTTGAGGGGAATATATGACGATCACTGAGGACAAAATGCATAGTGTCCATCTCCGCCCTTGTGGAACCTCGGCTGTTTCTCAAAAACATGCTGTACGCTTACAGCCTTGTTCGCTGCTGACGCTGAGGCGTTTCGGGGAGGTAGGGAGGGGGTGGGGAGGGAGAGAAGCTTCGAGGTGGAATTTTGGAGGTAACATGACATAGGAAGATTTTGTAGATTGGAAGTAACATGACAAGTGGCGAGTGAGGCCCATTTACCACATGCGTGATTCGGTGGTTGAACCACGGGTCGGCTCACGCCCAAGCCAGCAAGGCTTTCCATCCCTTCGGAGATAGTTGAAGGTGGAAGGCACGTAACATGGTACTTGCAAAAAATAGTAGCGGTGCTACCACATAGTGGGACAATGACGAAAAAGCTAAGTTAACCGGCCAAAACCTGCGAAAAAACCCTTGTTTTGCACGGTATTGGACGAGCACTTTTGGCCGAATTTCCCGTCGGCATCGTCCGACAACCGCTTTGATAGAGATGGCTGCATGTATCAATCCATATATCCGTATAGCAACGCTTCATATCAATGGTACATCATTAATGAAGCGATAAGAGTACCAGGTCAATGTGACTGTACCCCCGTTTGTGGGCGGGCGGAGGAGATCGGCGTCTGGTTGGCCAAGTTGCCTCTTGGTGCCTCTCGGCTGACAAAGGCGCCACACAGTGCCTGTCAATGGGGCCAGTATTTAGGGTATCAACTCTGCACGCCTTGTCGTCGATTTATCGTGCAACTTGCCTTTAATAAGTTTCGCCTAACAACAGGGTAGCATCGTTGTATGACACACATAGGGGTCGTACTCTTCGGCTGGGAAAGGGGGTCATATCAGGGGAGGGGTCGTATGTGCCTTTGCGAGAAATTTGCCGCGTTGGGAAAAATTTTTCCCGGTAGTTGACTTTTCGTGATTTTTCTGTCTCATGCGTACTACATACACCCCCTTCGACAGGAAATCTGTGGGTGAAAAACTGGAAAATGTGGGAAATTGGTAGGTAGGTGTTGGGGGGGGGGGTCGTACCGAGACCTTAAAGACACATGGTACGCTCACACACATTGAGGGTGTATGTGACTATCAGCCCCCCAGCTGTCGATGTGTCGTGGTTTCCCCGCCCGAAACTGGGGTTAGAGTACAGGGCCGTGGGAAAGTCTAATTCGTCCATGCTCCGCCCAAAATGCAACTTGCGGCGCAGCCTTCTTGGCCAAGTCCTGTTATTGCGTTTTGAAATACAATTAGAACGCAATTTTCTGGTGCGGATAACATTTTAGGTGCTGCAAAATAAGAACCGAAGATGATGACGAGGGCCAGAACTCAAGAGCAACTGTGCTGCTTCTGCAATATCCCTCGGAGGCCGCGCATCCCACGAAACATGAAAAATAAAAACGGCCTAAGCGTCCCACTTCGGACGAGTTTTCCGTAAGCATCTTACCAAATCATCGCTACCGAAGATTGCATATGTGTACCCATGTATGCATGCAGCATCACGGCCGCTTCATACCAATCCCTTCGCTTCATAATTTGCTTAGCAAATGAATGAATACGAGCGTCAGGAACGGTCGTCCATTTGTGGGCGGGCGGGCGTGGCGGGCGTTTGGGACGTAAAGTTGTGGCTTGATAGGGCCCTTATAAGGGCACCTTCCTCGGGGAAACCGCTATGCAGCGCCTGCCCAGGGTCGCGGAATTCTATCCTGCCAGGAGTATTGATCCTAGTCGTCTTGGGGGATTTATCGTGCCAACTGCCTTTAAAGAATTCCTGTGGCTTTGGAGCTGGATTCGCCGGATCGCAGAAACTTTACGTTCAATTAATTTGCATTTCCTTAATTTTTTCATTTTTGTTTTATTTACATCTACATTCGTTGTTCTTCATTTCTAGCCTTTGTCATCTTCATCACCTTCTATTCGGACTTTGCAGCATGAGCAACACCTCAAATGTTATTCGCATCAGAAAATTGCTTTCTAATTGTATTTCAGAGCGCTTACAGAACTTGGCAAAGTGCCAAGAAGGCTGCGCCGCAAGTTGCATTTTGGGCAGAGCATGACGAAGTGGACTTTCCCACGGCCCTGTACTCTATCCCGTGCAGTTTCGGGCGGGGAAACCACGGCTCATCGATAGCTGGGGCTGATAGTCACATACAACCTCAATTTGCGTGAGCGTACCATGTGTCTTTAATTTTGGGTTGGGGGGGGGGGTGATGGCACCTACACCACCATCACATCAAACATCACACGATGCGTACCCCGATGTCTAACAATAGCGTGTACCCCCTGAGACAATGACGTTGCGCAGATCTGCGAACTAGAATATTGGAAAACTGGTTCACTCTTATACGTGAACCGCGCCACTCACTCACCCGTTGAGAATACATCCCGAAATTACTGTGAGTTTTTGAAATCATTTAGTCTACGTACGATCCTACCTTATTTGCCACCGCTTGCAGGACGGCAACACACCCCCCTCAATTCATCCGTAGAGAATTTGCCATACATCCCATATTGTTTGGGTGCGCCATTTATACAACCAACAACGTCAACGAGGCCAAGCCTTAATTTCAAAGAAATGGAAAAGAGGCAAGTCTAGAAGACGAGCAGCACAACGCAGACATGAAGTGGCTCCATGTCCTCTTACAGTAGTGGACTCGATAATTCCTATCGTGGGTCTGCATCTCAGTTGTGGGCCAAGATGATGGTCGTTTCACGACCAGTCTACCAGCAGTGTCAAGCATTTCAATCGAAGACCGGCGAGGTATGACAGACTCTTGATTTTTCCTGAGTGTCTCGAAGGAGGAGCGTCTAGGCGATTTTTTCCCAGCAAGCAAGCGTCCAACAGAAACACCGAGTATTTCCCGCCCCCGCATGCGGTTGGGCTGTAATTCAGAGAAGGCTCTACGTCTGAGTCGGTAACCTCTCTAAGTATTCTGCTCCTGTAAAAAATCGTTGAGTTTGCAGAAACAGAGCATCATAAAAGTCGAACCTTTTCATGACTGGCGAAAGACGTTGACGGGAATCGCTGCTCTGTTGAAGGGCCGTATCCAAAAGACCTACTACGCTCGATATCGCAGCACGTTCTGACTCGTACACACCCAGTCGGCATATTACAGAAACGCTTTCGGTTTCCACTGAGTAGGGTCACCTCGGGTAGACAAATTAGAGCTTCCACCTTTGAACATTTTCTCGCGAGATCCGAGCAGAATCACTGATGATTGACCACCTCTATCTGCCAGTTGGAACTTCTGCAGGCGATCACGCAGAAAAGATGGCCTTGGACGTGAATTGAAATAATGCATGCAGGTCAGCAATTAGTGGTACCGCGGTCGCGCGCTCGCAAGAATCGCGACTCGACTGAATCGTCTCTAATTCTATACTATAGACGCGGCCCTATTAGGCTATCGTGAACATTCATTCGATATGTTCAAGACGATAATGGCCAAGATTTTGTCTTATAGCCTTTTCGAGCCTCGCGAAAAATCAATGAACCCTACCACCCCTCCCCCTCCATTGCGCGAGAAGCTCACCCTGTTCGCCCAATCAGCACAGCACAGCCAGAACTGGAAAATTTAAAGACAGCTCCCGCGATAAAAGTCTCATGGATAGCTGCTTTCCAATTATGAAACAGTAGCTGATAAGTAATCTCCCAAAGAAGAAAACAGGCAAGAAGCGTCCTCCAGAACAACATAAACAAAATCGCTCCCTCACAGTCACACTCCCCTGCGGTTCTGTGGCAACCCCTAGCTCCACACAAATGCTCTCCTAATCAACATCTCGCAGTAGTTGATATCATCCAGTGCAAAAAAAAAAGAATACAAAAAGAAAACAACAAAAACGCAGAGGAAAACTCTTGGAAGGAAAAAGGAGTTTACTCACACCAGCGGTGTCTGAATTTGGATTAGCGTACGCACTTTTGTCCCGCGTCGAGGTTTTGCATCACGAAAATTGCGTCACTCGTGCTTTTTACGCGTTTCACCTCGCGAAATGAGTTGAATTGAATGTATATACCTCCAATGAGTAAACTGTAATAAAGGGGAGCAAAATTTATCCATGGGCATATAGTAATGTCCGCGCCCCACACTAAGAAATAAACTGAGAGGCCTCCCCGTCGGAGGAAATCTACAAAAGGCGTCCAACTGAGCAGCGCCGTTAAAATTAGAAGATTACAGCGTTGTAGCTTCGCTCTCGCTCGCGGTGCAGTCGAATAGAGTGGGAGAGTCTCTAGCTTGGGGGCTATACTACTTGCACAAGGAAGGACGATCATGTGCTACTCGAGCGCGGGGGCTGTCTTTAAGGGCGTATTTGTATTCAGCAATCCCTCCGTCAACTAAACTTATTCGAGACCAAGGAGCTTGTTTTCCTGAGTAATAGACACGGTCGCCTTGCCCTGAGGGAAAGTTTTTTTCCTGTTTGCGAATTTTACTGGTTTCGTGGGCGAACTGCACTACGACATACCCTTCCCCTCCCCCCCCCACTGACTGCACGCGTAGGCCGCCGCAAAACTACTTACGATTACTGCCCGAACATGCCTGCCCTCCATAGCCTCCCTACCCTCCAGCGGCGGCGAACTTTTGGGAATCATTTCCTGATGATCCGTCGGTTGTCGAAGGAGATCGAACTGGAGAAGAAATCTGCGTAGGGGGGGGTCATATTCAGCAAATTCTCCCCAACGCTAGGATGTGGCCTAGTTTCATCAGCACATGTAGACCATAACTGAGGAACTTAAATTGGGGTGGTATTCGGTGGCCAACCGAGACTCTTTTGAATACACACACTGTACGGTTACCCGAAAGGTGAACAGTCGATCTTGCTAAGTCCAGACCAACACACGGTACGTTAAACTGCTACTTCGTATGCGCTGCTCGCCCTATATAGTAAATCGTCGCGGTCTGGATTCGAGGCCCGCCTGGTCTGATGTGCGAGTTCATTGGGCCACAGCCTGTTGCAGTAACAAAAGCGTAGCACTTCTCCAAGGCTTTGACCTACCTACAAGAAATGTGTTCACATCTTAGGTAATCGTACATTGGCGGCTTTAAGGCAAGCTGTACATTCACCACCAAAGACGATCACTGCCATGTATGAGGCGTATGAGCTCAGCGTGCCTTTTTCTCGGCTCAGAAGTGCGCGGGAACGAAGCTATAGTGCACTAATAGCCAGAGGCTGTCTCCATACTTCATCCGCGCTAAGGTATAGCATTTGCGTCGATACCAAAGTTACGCCGCTGAATCAGCACTCGCAGTACTAAGAACGCCCAAAGTGAGAAGACGCATCATGTAGCACGTCTGTAAGGTTAGGCGTGTGGTGGCCGTGTAGCAGCGCGGGCGAAGTATGAAGACGACAACGTGGTATCACTACCCTTCAGTCCCGTTCCCGTGTACTCTTGACCGAAGAAAACGGGAACGCTACCAGGCACATGCGGACACCCCACTCGCACATGGCAAGGAGCGGAAGCCAGGGAGGGGAGTGCACAGCTGATCTTCGAAGCCATGTCCCGCGATCAAGTGTTACGGGTAGTCCATAAGTACCCCCCCCCCCGGGTAGAAAAATAAGCAAATAAAAAGCAAGAAACACACCCCGATCAGAGCCCCACCCCCTTAGCAGTGGAGTATGGATCAAGTTTTGTCGGAAGTCGGACAAGCTCTGCCAACAGGATTCGACGTGCAACCGATTCCCTTCAAATCGCCCTACGACGCTCCGGGCTACGCTATGTACCAGCGATTCGCTTGTAAGCCGTTGTCTTGCAGAGTGAAAGTAATTCGTGGTTGCAATGGTTGCAATAATCACGCGTCTCTAGCTTCTTTATCTCGTCGTTTCGAGTGACGGAAGTGGTATGTTGTTGTATGTGGACAACGATAATAAATGCACGGAGTCATTTCGCGACCACTTGATCGCGGGAACTGTTTTTTAATTAACTCGTGAAGTAAAGATGAACTAGATGTATTATTATCCTTGCACACATTGAACACTGTGTACTTTGTTTCCAATGCACATGTTCCAACCCCCCTGCACCCTTTCCATCGAATCCCATGCACGTTTTCCAGATTGGTTCTTCCCTGGACGCATGAGCAAGTTGTCTCTGTGGAAAATGTGTTGGTCGTGCTTCACTGATATTACATTTTCATGACAAATCGACTGACTAGGAACATTTTATTCATATTATGACATGACATAATGATTAATAGCACACCCGATGATACCTCTGGAAACATTCCATGCACCACGGCTTCCTACATTGATCACATTGAGTTTTGACCTGTTTGGCCCACTTCTTGGCGAGCGACGATCCATACAAACCGGATATTTGGGCGTAACAATGAGTGCATCTCCTCCACTGATATTTACCGTTGATCTCAATTGGGATCAGAAGATTATTTTGAGTTAACTCCAATTCAGGCCTTCTAACTCGTTTCCAGAATCCATGTCTACAACGAAAACAAAGATTCATATCCATTGAATACTTCCACACGAATATGAGCACTAAACAGTGACTTTGTGCATTGACTTCAATGCACGCCCTCTACACAAAGAAGGAAGTTTGGGTGAGAGACGCAACACATTCGCAAGCATCGTGCGCACTGAATGTAATGCACCACCAACACACTGTTAAAAGAAACCATTTGTATACCCGCGATCATCGGGAAGAATCAAACCGGAAAACGTGCATCGAAACCAATACACACGGCGTCAAACGCTCAAATTGATTTAAATGGTGAACATAAGTAGGTATATCATTTGCAACTTTCAGGAAACCACTCTAGCGGTATAGCAGGGAACGCCGAGGAAAGTGGAGACCCGTTGCGCAATTCTCATCCCAAGAACACCATAAATGTCCTTTTGGAAGCCCGTTGAATGAAATCATCTGACGGTAACGAAAAATAAGCAAACTTTTGGTCTTAAATACTAGACAAGGCAAAGCACATGAAAGGGCCAAACGGCTAGAGAATATTTAGGGCTTTCTTTGAATGTCGCAGAATGGCACTATTTATACGTTGGCGACCGCGTGATACCCATGCGAATCACGCTTTGTAGACCACATGCGGCCGCTTGATCAAACTACGGGTCACGCTCATCATATCCATATATTACCCAAGTGCGTGTTTTTTGGTTCGACTTGCCATATTTGCTCTATCGTTCATTGTTAATATACTCGTAAAAAGGGTGGTCCACAAAACAGTTCAGTATACTGTAGTTTAGCAAAGATTCCCTAGGGAACACCGTTTTTGGAAAAGTCTGTTCGTCAATATTTACTGGCAAATACAGACAAAAACAGTGTTGACAATAGCAAAAGCGTAAGATAAGGTATCAAGGAGTTCTACACAGGGCACGACTTGTGTTTTTTATAGAAACATTTGAGACAGAAAAATTTTCGGCATCTAGTGCAACGAGTATTGACCTGCTTGGTTCTTTTCATGGCTACTACGCGTCCCTGCTCTTTTGATGTTGTAGAGTAACATCCGGTACAACGTCTTCTCGTATTGTTCTTAGGGCCAGATACTTCTTCTAGCTCCGGTCTTGCTGCATCGGAATGATCTCGAGCGCAGTCACACTTAGCGTTGAGCAGCGACTCAACCACGTCCATTCTGAAATCATTCAGTCGCACTTTCCCAATTGCATCTTTGTATAGCTTCCAAGCATTCACCACTGCTGTTTGCGTAGAATGGAAGAATATTTTCTTGTACCATTTCGAAGTTTTATGCACAATGTATATGCTGCTATTTGGTCAGAATGATATACGAATGATTTCATCTCGTTGTAGTTCTCTCTTCTGAGACAATCCTAGTAGGGCATCGTCTTTTGAGAAATCACTGAGCACCAAAATGTACATTTCTTTTCTGCTTGTAGCACGGCTGCCCTCTCTGAAACCTCTTTTTTTTGATCTCTTTTGGTACTCCTCTTCTGTTCTTTCTCAAGGTTCTGACAAAATAAGTTCTTGGTCAAACCAACATTCCGCTAAGTGTAAGCTTTGAAGTAGGAGTATCCGTGGCAGCGTGTTGTCCTCTCCATCAAATAAATCCTGTCTTCGCTCTAGTACAGAGTCCTTCCCAGCCCCAATCCTTTTCTGGTGGCGTCGTGGGTATGAATCAAGCGGTATTTTCCCCCCCCCGTCCCCCTTCTTGGATCAACAGCTTGAGCATCTTTAGTGTCGTGTCTGTGACAGTTTTCGACAAATATAACTGAAGAAAATAATCCTCTTCCTCAACAAAACAAGAGACCGTCTATGCATAAAATTTCCGGTGGAGTACCACTTCGCATACGCCCCGTTGAATAGTTCCAGGAAGTCTATGAATTCGTGTAACCAATCGCTGGTATAGAAGAATACCGCTGCAGTATGAAATATTTCGAAATAAACTCTACGATAGTTTCCTTGTCACAAATATGCCAGCAATCAAAGGAGCACCAAGAACTGGACGCGAACTCCAGTAATCTCGTAGGCTCAGTACTCCATTCCCACTTGCGAGCACAAGCCGATATATATCTTTTTTCATTCGAACTCCTTTTCTTGCGACCGTTGGTTCTACTGCCTTCCGTAACGGTCGCTGACCTCGATCCGTAACGGTCGCTGACCTGAGTAGATCCGTAAGATCGTCATTCACGAAAAATTCGTAGAAATCCTTCGGTTAACAACAGTCATAACCAGATTCGTGAGAACAGGAATGTCCAGCAGTATACTATGGATCGTGTGGCTAAACATCGCTAGAACCACTTTCTCTATCATACTCCCCTCATCCGATTCGTTTCCACATTCTGCACTAATCCACCCACTGTTTCATCTCCTTCACTTGTTCCTGACAGTTTTTCATCATGTAATAGTGCGGAAGAAGTCCAAAGTATCTTCATGCTATCAACATTTCTAGCCGTTCTCAGGCGCTCGAATAAGCGTCTTCTTGTGTAGACTTTTTGATGTAATGTGGACTTTTTATGTACTTATCAACTGACTGATTATAATTTCTCTATAAATCAGGTATTCTGATTCAAGTCCCAGAAAAGCGCCTCGTGTGACCGTATTACTCCTATAAGGTATCACGCCTGTCGCGTTCGAAAAAGGGCGCGGTCTGATGTTGTCGAAAAAGTAAAAACACGACGATTTCAGCGTGGTGAATACATATCGCATGAGTGCAAATTGTGGATGGTGGCGTTCAGTTACTGAACTACAGTCGCTAAGCGAAATGCTTCCGCTTATGGCTCACTAATCGTTTTTTTCGCTTCATCCACTGTTTAAACCATCTATTAGGGGAAAGAATAACGAAAAATGCGATGTAAAAGCTGAATGGGTAAGACGGGTAGAAGGGGGAGAATTGTCACTTTTGAGGGCCACAGCGCCTTCGTTACTCAAAGTGAAGCCGCGAGAGGGAAATCTTTGGGAACGATAACCTGACTACGTCCAAGGAAGGTCGCCTAAGAAGTGATTGAAAGCGGGAATGTCTTTAAGTATTACTAAACGAACTAGAAAAAGCATGAAATCAAAAACACTACAAAGGTAAAGGAACACACCTCTGATCAGCTACTTCATCGCTTCCCGCTTCTGTCGCACCTAAACAATTGTATAACAAACAAGATCTACCTACATCGTCAGCACATTTATGTACTGGAGCTCCACCCTCGAAAATCATATTCTGACGAAAATTTTTCCAAAGGCAAATTTTACACTAATTTTGTGCCTCGGTGGGGAGG